TGGGCTATAGTCCACGAAAGCTTATGCTCTAATAAATTTGTTAGTCTCTAAGGTGCCACAAGTCCTCCTGTTCTTCTTTTTGCGGATACAGACTAACACGGCTGCTACTCTTAAACCTGACAGTCATATGTTCCAGGCTAGACTGCTTGAGAAATGGATTTACATACTAAGATATCCCATTCAAAAGAAATCTCATCCAAGATAGATGGAGGACAGTGGAAAAAAGTATTTGGGTTTCTAATTTGGATTGTCTTCAAAAACCAGATGTTCCTACAGTATTTATGTCTTAGTGCATAAGAATAAAAAGCCTTCAAAAGACAAGCCTGGGAGCTTAAATTCTTAACTGTTAAGACACTAGAAATCATGGACTCAAAGATACTGGATTTATGGCTCATTACAACCATGTATGACCCACTTCCTTTGTCCTAGGACTGCAAGTTTGTTAACTACACACTTCACCTTGAGAAGGCTCTTACAACAGGTTAACTCCTTATGCTAAACAAACTTGTATTTAGCTATGTGACACTGAGTAGCTTCTCCAGATCTGAAGAGCTCTGTAAGCTCAAAAGCTTGTCTCTTTCACCAACAGAAGTTGGTTAAACAAAAATAAAAAAGGAAGCCTGCTAGCAAAAAGGAAGTGCCTAAATGGTGAACAGATGAAGAAATGCGGTTTTAAACATCTAATGCATTAATAATGCAAGTAAGGACAGCTGTTAAACTATAGCTTGATATTTCAATAATCTGTTAATTTAAGAAAATTTTGTAAGTTATCAATGCGTTGCTTAACTGAAATGTGCATGCTTGAGCTATTATGCCAAGATGTTTAGTGTGAAACATGATTAACATTGTTTGAGACATATTTCTTTGCTTACTCTCGCAAAAATGCTGGAAAATCTGCAGATAAGAGACAGAAGACGAGCAAGGAACTGAGCTGAGTATTTGGAAAACCTCCACTATAAACATGAAATGTGGCTTCATGAAATGACAATCAAGTTAAGACTCTTTCTCCTGTAAAGGAACATGGTGGGCTACTTAAATGGCTGAAGCCATTTTACTCTAGAAGTCCCAGAAATAGTACTGACATTAATTGTAATAAATGTAGCATGGGACTGACCATAATTAAAACACAGTTCTGGGAAGAGTTGCACTTACAGCATGCACTTAGCAACTTGTCTTGCTTTCAGCTATTTTAAGTGTTCAGCCATGTCTACATACACTACAGCTCCCATCAATACTAATCCCAAATAAGTCAGTGGAGGGTTTTTTGGTAAATTTCCCCCAATTTACACATGGTTTGCAGTCTACTCTGAGAATTTCTGGATTCAGGGTCTCCCTTTGGTGTTTTGGTTTCATTTCCTTAAATAACATTTCACTTGAAAAGTTAGAGGCCTAAATGGGAGTGAAAGATTCACAGCTCAGAGAATAAGATCCCCTCATTTCTGGAAGCAAAGATAGCTCTCAGCCTCGGCATGTAAGCTGCAGCAGTTACCTACAGTCAAAAATCTGCACCATAAGGCGCTAAGTGCATATTTATCAAAATGACACTTTAAACTTTAGCTTACAGCCCATTTAAGTGTCAGCTTTAACTATTTCACTCTGCAGCATTAACATCTAGCTAATGTGCTTTACTCAGTGAGGTGTGGGGCCTTCAGCTAATTGAAAGGCTGCAAATTTTCAAGTTGTAATCTGAATGCTTTAAGATTTTGGTCCTTCTCAGAAGTCCAATTCTCCACTGCTGCTCCCTACCATAATGGCTGGCTGATCAGGTAGTTGCTTACCAAGCAAATTCTAGTTATCATATGGGCGAGAACCTCTGATCACATTTAAACTAAGGCCACCTGATTATATTTGAACTAGCGTTTAAAGATTAATCCTAGTTTCAAGATAAGCAGTTGGGGAGCCAGCCATCAAGCCTCTGCAGGATTTATCCCATACAAGAGCTTTCACTGTAGACTGAGGTGTGAGCTCCCTAATGATTTCTAGAGTCTTTAGTTTTATTTATTTGGCAGCTAAAGTTTTAGAAGTGTGTCTAGCTGGAAGCTTGTTACATCTTCTTCATTGAAGCTTGAAATCCACTGCTAAATTGGGGGGGGGGGGGGTAGAGAAGAAGAGGAGAGTATACGGCATATGCTTAAATCCTTGGCTACTGGCTGAAGTCCTTGTCTTTTTTTGCAGAAATTGTTGCCATGGCATGTATTTGCTGGATGTTTCTGATGGGTTAGCACTCAGAACTCCTTTTCAGCTGAAACCAGAAAGTCATTCCAGAGTAGCAATAGATTCCTATCACTTAAATCCAGCAAGAACACATTAAGACTGCACTAGTTATAACATCTACACTCCCAAGTGTAACTTAATACAGAGTGGCACTCGTGACCCAAATATTTCAGCGGGAGAAGGGAGTGCATCCTATATTGTGGAATTTGGAGAATGCTTAGTCTGTCTCCTCAAGTTTGGAATGATGAGGGAAGACAAGTTTCCTGTATTAGTTTACTGAGGAAGACTTAGTCTTCAAAAGTAAGTTAGAATTCTGGTTCAGGTTTCCTACTATGGTACTCTGAATCTGTTTCCTGTTGGGGGTGGGGGGTGGGGGGGGAGGGAGAGAAGAAGAAGAGAGAAGCTAGTTATTAACCTGTTACAGTCAGTTCCAAAGGTAAAGTACAAGCGCTACAGGTTTAAAATATTGCTAGCCTGTGGGCAACTTGTCTAGTTATCAAAAAAATCTTCTAAATGCCAGGTTTTTAAAAACCCTTTGAAGAGGGCATTTGTACTAAAGAAAGCTTTACAAGTGCATCTTACTATATACACTAATCCACTTAGCTAGCAAAGAAAGACAGAAGGTATCAGCATTTCAAGAATTCTCCCACTTTCTCCCGAAATTAGGATAGAATGCTGACAATTGTTCCACAGAAAGTGTTTTCATAGAAGAGACTGAAAATAAGTTTTCCCTAATGTGAGAAGCCCCTTTAAAATAGAGGGTACTATTGTCAGAATGCAGAGTGACCAATACATACCTGCATCCACAGAAGTCATTCCTTGCGACTGAATTAAAGCTCTTTCGCTAGCTAGGTCATCAGGCTCAGCATTAACATCTAACAGAGAAAAATGCGACAATTCATGCCTTTTCTTACTATTGTTTCAGTCTAGCTGCAGATTGTATGACAGTTCATACCTAGACAAGGACCTTCACAACCAGAAGGGCTACAAAGTTTATATTCTGCTAAGACTATGATAAGGACTTCTCTATTTTGTAGGGTGGATTTTGACAATCTCAAAAGAGGTGCCTGTTTTAGATGTTAAAGACGACTTTAAAAATGATAAGATTAAGCAAAAGTATCGAAGAGCTACAGTAAGCATTAAAAGTCTTGTTAAAGGAAATGGCTTTCAGTCAAGGATGAGTGTTTGCTCAAGCAGGAAGCAAGCAACCAAGACTTAGTCTAAACTTGTTAGGGTTTTTTTTTTTTTTTTAAATATATAATGTAAAACTACTTTTTAAGTTGCAGTATCTTTTGGTTTCAAGTGTTGATAATCTGCTTTGGGGACAATGTTTAAAACTCAATGTGTGTTATGACTTAAGTTTGATTCTATGGGGATAGAAGGGATAGAAAGTGTTGGCACTGAAACTGTACACTAGCTATAAAGGGATGGGAAAAGTCACATGCCTACAAGCTACCACTGTCCTCAAGACTCCCCTTTGCCACAAGGCCTACAGAAACCTTGACAATGGTGACAGAGGGTCCTGTGGCACCTTTGAGACTAACAGAAGTATTGGGAGCATAAGCTTTTGTGGGTAAGAACCTCACTTCTTCAGATGCAAGCATCTGAAGATTCTTGCAT